TGGCGCTTGGCGCCTCTTCCCGGGGCTCCTGCCAGGGGCGGACTGCTGCGCTCTCGCGGAGGGGAGCTGGTGCGTCGACGGGGCTCGCACTCGCTCGCTCGCTCGCTCTCTCTTTTCCTCCGGTTGCCCTTCTCTGCCAGTTATGCAGACTCCTGGCGGCGGCGGCGGCGGGCGCTGCTGCTAGGATCCGATGCTGGTTGCTCGGGAGCCGGGCGATGGAGCTGGGGGGCTGATCCTCGCCGGCGACGACGCTGAGAGGGGAGAAGAAAGGACAACCGCCGAGGGGGCGCCCCTCCGCCCGGGTTCCAGCGCGCAGCACGCCTGGGTTTCAGGTTGTCCGGCTCTCTCGCCTCCTCCTCCTCTTCCCACCGCCGGACGCCCTCCCGTCTCTAAATGGAATTAGTGGAGATCGGAGCCCCTTGTGTAAGGAACAGACATGATCCATGGGCGCAGCTTGTTTCACAGTGAGTACGGAGGTTCTTTCTCTCCTTTTGCGCCCCCTTGAACCAGGAGCCCCGGAGCCGCACTCTCTATTTCTTCCTTCACCCGGGGGGGGGGGGGAGTCGTTACAAACTCCTCTAGAGGAATCAGATGCGGGAAGCTTAATGGCGTACGTGTAAATCCTCCCTCCACCCGTCCGTCCCCTCCTTCCCACGCAGTGAAAAACCCAACTGCTTAGACACTGGGGTCCGCAACTTATAATAACAATACAGTACCTTGAACTCTAGGCTTAGGGTTGATTAGGATGAAATTCAGGAGGACTAGTAGCTGTCAAAGTCATGCGTAAAAAACCGGGGCGGGAGGGAGGAAGGATGGGGGGGAGTGGGAGGTTTGCGAGAGAGTGACCCGCAAAACTCTCATCCCGCCCCCCCCTTTCTGAGTTAAGCTGGGGCGATATTAGGCCACGGTAAGCTCACTTAACGGTAGAAGTCAGCAATATTGCAAGCAATGGGTCTCAACGATGTAATGTGCTGGAAGGGATTATGTCCTCTCCCCACCCCCAGCCCCCAGTTTCACTCCGGCTGCAGCCTTCAGTTATGAACTTGGATAAAAGTTGCACTGAAACGACTGGGGCTTGTTTCCCTTTAACTGTTTTCAAAATTGGAGTAACTCTGCTTCCGATACATCCTTACTTTGCCGTCCCATTTCTTCCAACAGAGTAAAATCTAGAACCCCAAATTAAATTGAACGCTGGGATTGTGACTAAACCTAATGACACACATCCTTCCCTGGTGCCAATTCTACAGCATCAGCTTTAATCCGGAGCATGTTCTCATTGATTACTGTCATTATTTAGGATTAGTGCCAGAGCTGTTGTTGACTGGAGCCCTCTTTCTCGCCCCCCTCCCCGTGAAATCCAGTGCTTTGGAAGTTGGTAGTTGCCAACATCCTCCTTTGGCCTTCTGTGGGTTTTAAGATTTTTTTTTGAAAAAAGTTATTTAGGATAATCCTCTAGGCCCTATGTATTAAGGGATTAAGCAAAAGTTACAAATCAGCTGTTGGTTAGTAATGGAAGGCGAGTGAGTATTTTAACCAACACAGTTAAAACAGAAGGAATGGATCATTAGAAGACACAAACATTTCAATACTCAAGCAAGACCAAGAACTTGGATATAAGCCAACATCATCTCATGTTGGTATGTTTTTGGAACCCATTCAAAATCTCTGATCTGTTATCTCAAAATGCCAGCATGCTTTGGTGGTGGTCTGGCAGACTTAAATTCATCTTTGACCTATTTCAGCTGTTCTTGCCTTGTTTTGACGAGCTGCATCAGTTTACTGAGCAAAGTAGCATTTGAACTCGGGACCAAAGCCAGAGATCACAAAATGTAAGCTTTTGGCAAAGTGTGCAGTAGGAAAGGAAAATGAAGACAAAGAGGACCCAGGGGAAACTGGTTTCATAACTGGCTTGGCTCTTCTAAAACTCAGTGAATGGGACTGTCTCTTTGCCCCCTTGCTGTGCAGGTTTCTTTGACTTGGGGTCATAGAAAGTGGTCAAGTGTAGTGGGGGGGGGGAGAAGAAATATAACATGTGAATGAAGTTAATTTTAAAAGTTGTTTATAACTGGAGTCAAATTGTTAGCATTCTAGTTTAGTAGCAATTCAAAATGGATAATTTATTTGGTGCATTTTAAGCTGTGAATGGATCCTACTCCATCTGATTAAACTAAAAAAAACTTCCACTGTTAAACATAAAGAGATGCTTTGTCTGTAATCATACTGGTGATCCAAAGTATATAGGTCATTAGTATGCCTTTTATCCAGATGTAGATGGAAATAACTGAGTAATCTCCTCTCAGCTTTGTAGTTTCCAGGAGCTGACTCTCACAATTCAAGAAGGCTGTGATTCTGTGCATGCTTTCTGGGGGAGAGGGGGTGGAATCCATTTCACTCAGTGGGACTAGGCAAACCCATAGAGAATAAGACCACATGGCTGTATTTGTAAGCATGATTAATAGGGGCCCCGGGAAGCAAATGCTACATTAAACAGTTGGCCTTACTGTTTGTGTCCCGGGGCATGGCCTGCATAAGATAATATGTCATGTAATTAATCTTAGAATGTAGTAACCAGTCCCTAATGAAGTAGGCTTCATTAAAATTAGCAAAGAACTTGACTTCTGACAAACTTCTATTAGGTCTGGGATGTGAATTCTGTCTGTGGTTGTCCTTGCACGCATAAGCACAAGATTCCAGTTTTGTAAAAGAGATCATGTGTGTGTAATTTTAGAGGGTATTATACATCTTTATAAAATGTTGACTATATCAAGCACCAAGATTGCTTTCAGATAAAGCTTTTCTTATTCTGCCTCTTTCGTGGAATTTTACAAGGCATATCTTCCATTTGTAACCTTCCAGTATTTTCCCTCTGCCACTTCCGTTTTTCTCATTATTGCAACAGCAGGAAAACTTAATTAAAAATATGTTAATAGCTGCATAGCGCCCTTCATTTTGGTAGTGCATGGAGCTTTCCTTCTGGAAGCTCACCAGTTCACGGTGCAAGCATGCTTCAAAATTGATTCTTCAAAGAGGAGCATGGCGATGGTTGTTATTTGTTCCCCTCTGAAAGCCTTCAGAATGACTATGTGCATATGTCCATACTGCATTCTTCGGGGAAATTGAAATATTCTGAATGCAGCTAATGATTAATATGCTTGCAACTTGCTCCATTTATCCCAATTTTAAAGAAAGCAAAACTTATTCAATAACTTTCAGCACACATTCAACGCTGAGCATGACTGCTGACTACTAGCTTTTAAAAATATATATGGCATAGCGAAAAAAAAGTTTCTAGCTACTAGAACATGAAAGAGCTGGCTAGATAGCACAGTGCATTAGGTATCTGGCTGTGAAGCCAGAGGTTGGGAGTTCAATTCCTTACTGTGCCACCCAGTAAAACCAGCTTGTGTGGCCTTGGGCAAGCTGCAGAGTTCTAGGATGCCCCCAGAAGAGGGGAATGGTAAACCACTTCTGAGTATTGTCTATCTGGAAAACCCTGATAAGGTTGAAAAAAAAAATGCATCTGGATTGTATTCCTAATCTACTTCACTTCTCTCATGTTCTTTGGTATTTCACTGATGTTTAACAAGGCCTGGTCCATCCTTTTCCAAAATGTAATTGAGGAAACTCATATACTATGGAGTTTCTAAAATATGGGGGAGGGCAGCTTGAGCATCTAAGGTCTGCAGTAACAAATTGGATAGAAGACATTTCCCCCAATTTCTTAATAAATGTTGAGTGCAAGATTGGAGTAGAGGAGTAAAGTATATTGAAAGTATTTCCAGAAATCATTATAATAAAACACACTTATTTATGTAGGCTTTTATAGCTGGCCTTTTCACAACACATTTTTTTTTAAAAAAATGATATTGCTGACAAAGAAAAATCAGCTCCTTCCCTAATTAGAAGGGCTGCTACAATTTGAAATTACATAATGGACGTTCTTAGTCGGTGCCCATGACATCATTTTTATCTGCTTGGTCATATCATAGAATGAAATTGTTTGAGTTGGAGTTGTGTGAAGTATTATTCATTATTATTTTATTATATTTTTTAAAAATCCCAATAATTCAGGGCAGAAGGAAACGACATCAACACGAATGGATATTGTGAATTCTCGCTCCTATTGTCCAGAACTTTCACTGGTGCACCAAATAGTGTGGTGTCTCCACAGATTGTTGGCATTTAGATGGTTCCAACTCTATTGTAAGATTTTTTACGAGTACTCTCTCAACTGATCCAACCTTTGATGTATGTGTGTAGAGAACAGAGAGGGAGGGTGTCAGCTCTCCTACTTCATGTAGGAAAGCTGTTCACTGTCCCTCATTGAAATAATCATGGTACCTTTAAATAGGGACTTGTATGACAGCAGCACATGCCCTTTAGTGAACCTCTGGAATTGGTAGTCCAGCTGCTCTGGAACAGTTGTCATTAAGGAAGGATAAAAACATGTTGTGAGAAAACAAGGGAGAGTTAGGCAAGATGCACATGGTAGTACACTGAGAATATGTGCAGGTAGTCAAATAGGCTTGGGGACACATGTGAGTTATGGGTGGCTGAGCAGCGAAAGCCCATCAGGACTCAAGTTCCAGAGTCCATGAAGAGCCAAATGGCACATCATATCTGTCACTGGGATGACATCAGCATCTCATCAACAAGTTCTCCATCCCCAACGTACCATGAAGAACTACTGCCATATTTTTATATGGCATAGTGCCACCATGTTACCTTCCTCCTTGTTCTTGCCAACTGCCAGCTGAGGAAGATTCTCTTGCTTTGATGACATGGTGATACATACTGGTAAACACTGGGGAAAAGAGCAGAGAACTTGCCTTGGGAAGATAGTTTACATCATTCCCTTCCATTGAAATTCTCTTTTGTTTTACCCTATTCTCAGTAACAGACCTCCTAAAACCCCTCTTGAACTATTTGTGCTCATGTTTCAAGCTGTAACAACTCTGAAGGCATACTAAATGGCATGTATTGCAACAATCCATCTTTGAGAAGGAAAAGAGCATGGACAATCATGCAAGATGTATAGAGGGGACAAACATGGCAAGTATCATTTGTGTCTTTGAGAAGGAAAAGAGCATGGACAGTCATGCAAGAGGGGACAAACATGGCAAGTATCATTTGCATATTTCTGGTGCAAATGATATTCACTAGGCAAATGTATTCTTAAGGGCTACTGTGTGCATGGATACACACCATCATCAGAAACAGCAGTTTGGACTCAAGAAACATGATTATGCTTTCATTTCCTATTAGTTCATCATTAGATTATCACAAAGTATTTTCTGTGCTGAGTTAACTTCCAGTCTCAAAAGTACTCTGTGAAAAGAAACCCCATTAAATAGAGTTTCTGTTGGAAGGGCACTTAAATGGCTGGGTATTAAATCAGAATGGTCCTATCCATGTAACCAACATCCTAATACAGCAAGCAGCAAAATCACTAAGCAGACTTCACTCTGACAGTATTTAGTCAACATGAAACAACTTAATTATTGAAAGTTCAGATGTTGGAAATCTCACAGAAAGTTAAGATACATATTTCTAGCACTGTTCAGTTGTCTTGTTGGCTTATTAGGCAAATGCTTTCTGACTTGGCTATTAATGTACTAGAGAAATTACTGTTACACTTATAGCAGCCCTTAACAAAGTATTACCTGCCACTGGATGACACTGAGGAATTTGATATGATGCAGGAGTCTTTGGGACCATAAAGTATGGATGGCTCGTGGGCAGAGTAAGGGGGACCCCTCCCCACCATTCCTGTGCAAAGTGCCCCACCCCACTAGTATGATAATCTTGAACCATGGTGTTGATCCATGTGGTAGATTGTAGATGATGACAAGTTGGGTTGGCTTGACTGGATCAAATAAAATCCCTATTAAATTTCTTTTGCGTAAATTGAAAGAAAGCTGCAGATGCCTCAAAGATATAGTTATATATTGTCCATTCATGTGCACTGAGAAGTTGGAAAGAGCACCCCTTTTATCCAGAAAAGATTAGCAATGCAATCTTATGCAAGTCGTCTTGGATATAGGGCCTACTGAATTCAGTAGGGCTTAGTCCATCAGTAATCTGTGGTCTGAAGGGGGTCTTTTCCAGTCTGATATTTCAGTGTAAGTTCCTCTTGGAGCACTCCAGCCTACTTCTTGGTAAGTAGTTGGAGGCATAGGAATGCAACCTAATTCTGTTCCCATCACCATATGGCTTGTTCAGTAAACCATATTGATTTTGATTCAGATCCACAATGCCCTCTTCCCCAAAAAGTTAATCATATGAAGAAAATGCTTTGTGTTAAGAGACTGGATGGCTATGTACTGTACATCTACAAAATCCATATGTTTTTTTTCTTTTCTTTAGTACTTCCCTTCAGTGTTGGTAGACTGTTGTAGTTATTTTGATTGACTGATATACACTATTGTCACTAATATACTTTTTTTTCCAGTTGTAGCAAGTTTTATCATCCTACATTGGGCTGGGGCAACAAAAAAAGGAGCAGGTACGTTTCCTTTTTTGAAATGAATAATATTTCCACTATATTGTTTCCTCTAGAAAAATTTAAGACATTGACTATTTTAATTATATTGCTTAGTTGTTTGTTTTTTAAGTCTTCATTCTTGACAACTAAAAATCATTAAAATTGTCATGCTAGGCAATGAAACATAGCATTTTGCACACAGGCTTACTTTAAAAAAATGGAGGACTAAGGACCAAATGCACAGACCAAAAATATGGAACAGGAGATCCTTTTATGGTGGTGTTTGGCTCACGTGGTCTTGTCTAGTGACAACACAGAAAGAAATTGGATCTTCTCTTTAAAACACTGGAAAATGGTTTGAAAATGCCTAGGCTAAGTCAGCCTTTGGTGGTTAGATTCAGCATCAGATTTATGCAAATACTAAAATAAGGTACACATTAGGCATCAGATCATTGGCAGCTGTCACTATTTCTCTTTGGACCTATTGTTTCTTGTGATCAAACTGACAATGGAGAGAGTGGAGATAGTTTACTCTCCTTCTTTGCATGGTTAGCCCACTTCTTCCTCTTCTTTCTCTCTTTCTCACTCCTCTCTCTCTCACACACATTCACCCACATCCCAACATTTTATTTTGTCTTGTTTTGGGAATTGATAGTCCAAGAAACCTTGAGGTGGGGAGAAGTGGGCCTTCCAGATGCTGCATTCACCCACATCCCAACATCTTATTTTGTCTTGTTTTGGGAACTGATAGTCCAGGAAACCTTGAGGGTGGGGAGAAGTGGGCCTTCCAGATGCTGTTGACCTGTAGGTTCAAGGGTTCTACAGGGAGTGAGATAGAGAAAGATGGCCTGCTTTACAACAAAGTTGTAAAGCCCCCACTTCAGCATCCATGAGTCTGTTCCCCATTCAAATTTGCATGGGTCTCTGTAGAGAAGACTTATTTAGTGGTTCATCTGAATACCTAACGTGTCCCCCCACCATCATCTCTTGGGTCCTCAGACATTCTTGGACTGCAACTCCCAGAAGCCTTCATCACTAGCTGTGTTGGCAAGGGCTTCAGGAAGTTGTAGTCCAGGAACATCTGGGGAACCATCATTGGGAAGCACGGTCATAGGCAAGAACTTTAGAGCTGAGCTCTATACCAATTATGTAATTTGTAACACAGATCATCGGGATTGGAATATGTTATTGGAGTATTTTTGTACTCCCTTGCATTATATCATGTCCAACAGAGACCCTTCTATTACGAAGCATAATTGCTTGATCCATCTGCCATGGAATGAGAACTGGCATCGGCTGAAGAATAGAGGTACTCATATGACCTCCCCTCACAAGAAAACAAGTAGAAACACTGTGTCATGTCTGCATCATGCCTAATGTCACTCTCTCTCTTTTTTCCTTCCAGAAAAGCAAACCACTTCAGAAGGCCAAAAGACAGTGCAGTGTGGAACGTGGACAAAATATCCAGAAGGAGGCATTTTCACTTCTCCCAATTATCCCAACAAATACCCTCCTGATAGAGAGTGTGTCTACATTATAGAAGGTGATTACTTTACACCTTTTATTTTTCCATTAGTCCTACTATTCGTAATTAGCACAAGCTCTGTAACATTTACCTTCTGAAATGGTTAGGACTAAGAATGGTTGTCAACGTCGTCTGGTATTTTGGGAAGGTGTAAAGCTAGCGTTTCTGCCACAAAACGTCATTACTCTGCGGTTTCAAAAAGGCTAATAAAGACCTTCTAAACTGTGTCAGCAAATGAACTTTGATTCATAGCAGCTGAAGAAGTTGGAGGCTAAAACCTCTTCCTATAGCATTTTAATATTTATGATTTGTTCGCCACTGATACCGATATATGGATATGCTGATATAGATATACTTGGTGAATAGGAACTGGGCCTCTTTCTTTTCTTCTGCCCCACAGTGCTGCTACATAGTACGGTGCTGTGTCTCAGTATTTGAGTAAGAACTGAGGCACACCACAACCGCTGCAGGCCTTATCTCGGCTTGTCTTCCTCTGTCCTGAAGATGGAGAGGAGAGCACTGGAAGCTGCTGCATCAGAACACTTCATTTACACAAGCAAAGATATGTATTGTCATGCTTTGTCAGCTTCCAGCCTAAACCATTTCCACACATGTCTTCTGGGTACGAGGAAGCAAGGCCAGAATAGAAAGATTAAATACTGAGTGTCGCTGCCTGGTGCCATGACTTTATTGCCAATCAGGGAAAGATAACATAAACACTACAGCACTACTAGTTTCTTCTCTTTCGCCTTTATCTTTTATTGGACAAGCTTCTTTATAATGATAGATAAAGAACCTTTGTGACTTGAGTCTAAATGCTTCCTCTACTAATTGAATACTATCATGTTCTTTACCCTCTTGTCCTCTGGTGTCAATATGACTGTAACTGGTACTGCCTAGACTAAAAGTAGTAAGGATCATGTCCAGGCAGATAGAAATATTGTTAGGCTGAACACTGAGAACATGCAGCATGCCTGGTGCTCATAGTCTTGGATCTGTGTAAATCATAATATTCTACAGATTAAATGAACAAGAGACAGTATGTTTTCTGGGATATTTTAATCAGGCTTCTGCACTGGCTTTTCACTGAATGCTGAATTCCTTGTTGGATTGAAGCTATTTGTTTAAAGCTGGGTATTCCTTTGTTTAAAGCAAACAGCCTTGAGCTGATCCCAGGTCAGATTTGTATCATCCTGGATCACAACCAGAAAAACATTGTCACTTAGAGGGTAAAAACATGTTTAAAACATGTATTCGCGAAGGCTTTCATGGCCGGGATCTAATGGTTGTTGTGGGTTTTTGGGGCTCTTTGGCCGTGTTCTGAAGGTTGTTCTTCCTAACGTTT